CTTTCGTTGCGTGAGCCGAACTATTTTCTCCTTGTGTTCCTCTTTCTGTTCCTCCTGCAGCTCGTAAGTGTGTTTGATGTTGATAATCAAAATCCAAACGACCTAAATATTATACAATCGCTCCTTTTGGGACGCTCGCCATGCTGCTTTTCTAGCAGCCTGTGGCGTTGCATGAGACACACGTGAAAAACAATGCTTAAACCAAATCGCAGCACACTCATCTTCCGCCATTTTATTGGGGCAGACCCCAACCCGCAAAATAATTTCATACAACCAGCGTTGAATTTGTTTGCCTTGGGCATGACAGTGCCAGCCAAGGTGGTCAATATTGCAAAAAGTCAAGACCGCTGTGCAATGTGTGCATTTCATATTGATTGAGTAGACTTCTTTCGATGCGAGGCGTTCAATTCCAAGGCCCCCGCCCTCGTCATCTCCTTTCTCAATTCCTCAACTTGACGGCCGAGCGTGGGCGATACCAAGAAGAGAGTACCCAACTGTGTCCTTGGAAAACCCTCCTGTTCAATCTTGGACGTTGTTGATTTGCATCCGGCTAAGTCGCACAGCATCCCATCAACTTTACAATTTCCATCAGTGCTCATTTGGCTTGTTCCAGCCCCTGGGTTTGAGCATCCAATCACCCTTAAAAAACGAGCATCTCTGCGAGTTCCGATGGTCTCATGGCCTTCTGATCTTTCTGTATCCTGCCGCCACATCTGAGCTTCAAAGTTGCCAAAGATCGCCCTTTTGGCAAAACCAGGTTTACCAAATACCAAAGCAGCAAAAATGTTGTGACAAGCGCCATGTTTTTCCAAGTGCCAGCTTGTGAAATAAAACTCTCGTTGACAACGTCTTAAAGTTCAATTCACCTGACTGCAACAACAGGGCCCACGCCCCCTGTGTTTCACTCCTGCGGTGCCGGCGTTGAATACAATTGTCTCGGCAAATTCAGCAGACAGTCTTTTGAACGCCCTGGTATCAATTTGTTCGATAGGCAACATAGTAGACATGCGCACAATAACTATAACTGTAGCAGCTGGCGTCCACGATTGTGAGGATTGCAATGTGAGGATTGCAATGCGGCAGACGCTTGTTTGGATATTCTGTCCCGGCGCTCCGGGCAAATTTGTTGGCAGTCACTGAAGCTGCACAAGCAATGGTGGAGGGAAGCAAGCCGCGCTAAAGCAAACATGTTTCCAGCCGCAAACTGAGCAACAAGTACAAACATCTGTAGGTGCTTGCCCAAGGTTACACTTCCGACCCCACAGCGTTTCCAAAACTGCAAACCACCTGATTGAAAAAATACCTTTAGTTTAAGCACTGCCCATGGAAGATCTGCAAGAGGCATCGCTAGAGTGTTTCATGAATAGTATGGCCGGTTTTTTGCAAGGTGACCATTTCGCCTAAATACATAAAAAGGGTAGTTGCGTAGGCCTTGATGATGGGAAAACAGCAGTAGATGCACCCAGATCACCATACAAGTAGCAACCCTTATCATTTCATCATGGTTACTGGCCGCAACAGCTTGCACACAATACTGTTAAATGACCACATATGAAGTTTAGTCGAGTGCAGCATAAAGAGGAAGAAAGAAGAGTACAGTAATGAGATGAAACAACATTGAGTTTGTAGGAGGATCGTAGAGGTAAAGAAAGTAATGACAAAATGATTGAATGAGGACTTTGGTGTGAGTTGAGTGATTTGGTCTGAGTTGAGTTGGTGTGGGGTGAACTGGTGTGTGAGATGAGCTTGTGTGAGTTGAGTTGGCATGAGTTGAGCTGATGTGAGATTGGTTGGTGTGAGTTGAGCTGATGTGAGTTCAGCTCGTCTGAGATGGGTTGGTGTGAGTTCAGCTGATGTGAGATTGGTTGGTGTGAGTTGAGCTGATGCGAGCTTAGCTGGTGCGAGTTGACATTTTGACATTTCAAGACGCCGAGGTTTAAGGTCTCGTTGCGCGGCCGCTCAAGGAAAATGAGCACTCGTGTGAGTAGGGGCCACAAATTCCAGCAGCAGCAAACTGGGGCCGGAACGGGCGCACGCCTCGATGCGTCGAGCCCGATCCAGCAAGGGATGCGCCGGTCCAGGTGGAGCGGCAAAAGGCTGGGAGTACCTGTCAGGCCATTGCGCATGCTCATGGTGTATTGCCAACTCCGTATCACATCTTGCAACTCAAGGACAGGTTGATCCAGTTCAGAGAGCCAATCTATGGACTGGGGAACCCATTCAACCCCATTGTCACCCACTTGCAACCCCTCAGCTGTGCTGAAACGTCGTTCCCAACCATGGTCATAGGCCGGCGATTGCAGCCATTGTAAAACAAAGCAAACTCACTCACGCACTGTGGGCGTGAGCCCCCATCCACCTGAGAGAACAAAGGTGATCAGGGTGATCATCTCATGAACTTTGGAGCCAAAAGCATCCGGAGTGAAGTCATCAAGGTTAAATGTTCCCAGCGTCACCGCATAGACAACACTACTGGCGTAGCGCCAGTTCTGGTCATTCAAAAGGGTCCGCTGAAGGAGGCGAGCTTGAAGGGTCTTTTTGAACTCGAGGTTTCTAGCTTGGGCGGAGTCCCCAGCTTGCCCCGGCCCTTCGGCTTGCCCTTGCCCTTGCCAAAGGTCTGCTGTTGCAGGCTCACTGCCAGAAAGGATCTCCTCGCTGTGTGCTCTCGCATGGTGGCCTGGTACAGCCGCCAAAGGGAGCTCTGAGCTAACATGGTCAGGTTTTCCATCAGGCGGTCCTCTCTCATAGTTCCCTGCATCTCCAGTGGTTTCAGGGCATGATCATGGCTGGTTGGCGGACTTGTTCCACCAGTTCCTGCAATAGCTCGGTCATCCTGTTCATGGGAAAGCTTTGGCGATGAATGTCCACAATCAAGGTCTTCCTGTCTTGACACCAGCAAGCGTACGGGTCCTCCACGAGAACCCTGGATGCCACTGCTTCCAGGCAGGTGAGTCCGCGCCGCCTTGCTGAGACTCAGAACTCGATCCAAGAGGCCTTGGACCATCGACAGCGCCAAGGTGTTGCGAAGCGGACTGGTCGGGGCGCTGTTCTGCGCCTATTGATGCACCAGTTGCTCGAGCAGGCCACGCGCTCCGACTTTTTGTGAAAATAATGTAGGGGTCCTGTCGGGCCAGTTGCTGGAGTTGATCCTCGCGACGAAGTATCAATCCGGTGAGGCACTTCAGGATGGTCAGCACAGCGGGATCCATCTCCTCCCGCTTGGCAGATGTGGTCACCTTTGCCTTGTGAGTGTCTGGCATATCCACCCTGGGCCTCTTGTGTTGAGGGTCGACGTCTTTTCGGGAGTTGCTCAGCACTGGTTCAATGGACCCAGTGCTTCATCAACTGGGGGGGGCACATCCGCTTCTGTCATTTCGAAGTCTTCGGTCATGAACTTGCCAAGCAATCCGGCCAAATTGACAACACAGGGGCTCCTGTGTTTGAGCAAGAGCGTCGCGGGCGAGCGCAAAGGATCAGAGGCCAGGAGCACTTCAGTCTGGTTACACACGCTACATGGAACCGGTGAGTCAGTCTGCAAGGCGCGAAGCTTGGCAAGCATGTCCTCAAAAACCATTCAGAATCAACTTATTATTCATGGAAACGGGACTGCCACACACCGTACACCACTGGCGGAGGGCACTGGTTGTCGTTCGAGTGGTGAGCAGCATTTGGCAATCACGGTCACGAAGAAGGCTCTCCAGGTCAGGATCGTTCAAAGTGGGAGGTTGGACTGTATCAGCTCAGTGGAGTCCTGGAAAGGCGCCACAATGGGTCTACTCACACGCTGACCTGCAAAATGAAGGATCGCAGTCTGGAACCATAGGAGGCATTGGTGCCCACGTTTCGCGAAGGCCGGAGGATTGCACCAACAAGCACCACCAGCCCCAAAGTCTAGCGTGGCCCCAAGGTGGGCAGCAAGCTGCCATTCACGTGCATGTACGTGGGGCCTGAGACCCGTTTGGCAGCTTGCCCGCAAACTTGACAGCTGAGTACGCAGGGAAAGGTCCGCGTACAAATCCGGAAAATTACAACCATTCTCCAGCATGGTCAAGACATGAGAGGCAACCTCACTAGCCACAACGTTCTGGAGTACATCCAGAGCGCTATCCGCTCTGATTCCATGCCTGTGCCGCAAGTGAAGGTTGACGGCTTCGTCATCCTCAAAGGACAACTGACATTGGGGACAATGGAAGCCCTGGCGAGTGCATGACCTCATCAGGACAGTCTCCTGTGGAGTTAGTCCCGTGACGAGCAAGGCAGTACAGTTCAATGTTCCACGCAACCAGGCAAGTATGGTTCGCCTGAAAATCACGATGGCAGAGGCGACAGGGACTCTCCACTTGCAACTCAGCATACTTCTGGCTTTCTTGAATAGTGTGCTCTACAAGGTCAAAATGATGCAATCGTCTATGGGAAAGAGCTTCATATACGAGGCAAAAACTTATTGCACAGAATGCAGGGGTACGCAACTGCTCCATCAGTCCCTCATCCTGGTCAAGTCGAGCCCAGGACTGCTCAGAAAGCTGGGCATCCAGGCTTCGATGATGGCGCTGGGGGCCAACTGCATGGTCCTGACTCCAAACATGGCGCAGGACCCACATTCAAGGTGTCTTAACCCTGGGCCCTTGCCAGTTGAAGAAAACATGCAAACAATGCGAGCAAGTGTAAAGACCACGCAATGCATCTCGAAGAAAATCAAACTTGGGAAAGTTCAGCGCGGCTTCCTGGAGGCGCCCTCATGTGTCGGTGAAATGACGCAGCCGGCAGGAATGTTTCCTCACAATGTTGAAACGCAAGTGGGCGAAAGTGAGGGACATTGACCACGCCTCACGTTGGCTCGCGATGTAGACCCAAGAGCCTCTTTACCTCAAGATGGAGTGTTGGGCGCAAGTCAACAAAATGTCAGCAGGGCAGCATTGACGGAGCTTGAGATGCCAACTCTTACCGTAGGAGGAGAATCTGGCTCTCCAGGAGGTCTTGACAAAGTGCACCCGTTAGACCTCTAAGGTTGATACGCCTATGGGCTTGCTTGGGACAGAAACGATTTATCAAATGGAAGACCCTAAAGCTTTTAGCTGTTTGGCTGCAATCATGGCTTCATCAACAATCTGTTCAATCAACGCGTACCACGGACTGCCTGGAGCGCAAAGTCTGTCTGTTGCTTGTGGACTTCGGCAAAGCGGACAATGAGTTCCCATGCCTAGACACAAGTCAGACAAACATGATGGAATGACCCAATTTGGCACCAAAGGGCCCATTTGTAATGGGCCATCTGCCTGGCGCTTTCTCAAGGTGAAGCCTGATGCCCAGGCAAGGGGACATGCTCAACAAAGCATCGTCGATGCCTGGAACGCATTGTGACAAGCATGTCATCATCACTCATCCTCGAGCACCAACTCATCTCACCTCAGCTGAACTCACACCAACCCATCTCACATCAGCTCAACTCACACCAACTCATCTCACACCAAAGTGCCGTGAGCGGTTCGAGACTGGCCCCACGCTTCTTTTGCATCGACCTCCTTCCTTCGCGATCCATTGGCGCGGTTACCTGGTGGAGGCTCAAGCAAGCTGGCCGCTCAATCCGGCCCCGAATCCAGACTCAGCAAACGAGCGCATCCATTGCTATTGCAAGATATCCTCTGTTGTAACACCCACGCAACTACAACTGGTTTGCATCTTTGAGACACATTGGACTCAGTAATATGAATGGTCAGGTAGTCATTGGCACTGTAAACACCATGCCAGCCCTGATTTTAGAAGTGCAGGTATCCTGCTGTTGCTTCGTAAGAGCCTTACCCGGTGGCAAGCATTGCCAGTCGACAGATCTTGGCAGGTAGACTCTCACACACGCGACTTCATCTCGCCGCTCGAGCTCTTGACTGGGTTCTGTGTTACCCGCGCTGTGGATCCACAACGCAGGCTGGTCAGAGAAGGCGAGCTCGATGGTGGGAATCTTTTGGTGACACCTTGCATTCGCTACCGTCCAGGAACACATTGATTCGTATGGTGATTTCACCTGTTCAACTGCTCTCTTCCCAAAGTGACCTCAACAAGCATTTCATGGATTGTTTTCGATCGCGAGGGGGTAACCCAATCAGAGGATCCAATATGTGAATCTCCTTCGATGCCATAGGTTAATTGCGTTGAATGGATCTCGACTTGAGCTAGGTGCCACGTATATCAATGGACCACACAAATCCACAATTAACTTCATTCGTATTCACGAGGCCGGCTGCTTGTGACTCTACGGCCAGACGCGTCCAATATCATTTGAACTGTCCGTTGCTTGGAGGTCATTTCCATGTTCCTGGTGCATTTAAACCGCCACCAGATCATAAGATCGCGCATGTACAACGAGTGCAATGCAGACAGGCATGCCGGGAGAACACTTCAAGCTGTCGATGTGGAAGTTGTGGTGTGAGCTGGGCTGATGTGAGATTGGTTGGTGTGAGTTGAGCTGATGTGAGATGAGTTGGTGTGAGATGAGTTGGTGTCAGTTGAGCTATTGTGAGTTCAGCTGATGTGAGATGGGTTGGCGTGAGTTGAGCTGATGTGAGATGAGTTGGTGTGAGTTGAGCTGATGTGAGATGAGTTGGTGTGAGTTGAGCTGATGTGAGATGAGTTGGTGCGAGTCGGGCTGGTGTGAGTTGAACTGGTGCGCTGAGGCGGGCAGACGGGACGTGGGGAAAGAGCATGTCCGCAACATGTCACAGGTGAAACCTTAATGCTACAAATTCTCTCAAGCTGGAGAAAAACACTCGCAACCTAGATATCAAACCAGGGCTCCCAAGGACCACAAACTTCACGCACTAGAAACAAGTGCATCGCTAATAGTAAGAAGGGAATTGAGAAACCTTACAACAAGAAGCTACTAAGTAATCAACCCATGAGACCTATTGCGCCATGGCAAGATTGCTGATTGCAAAGGTCGGTCCCTGGCACAGAAACGACCCAAGGACCTGTAGCGAAGAGTAACCCGAAAAAGTTGTATACCTTCTTGAGACAACCTGCGAAACCCACACAAAAATGAACAATGTCCTCTTCCACTGCTCCTGGCTCCTGCCGCGCGTCGCAATTCAATCGTAATCCACCCTCTTCAAAGATTATTTGTTGATGATGCCAACCTATGCGAGCCAACCTTAGCGTCCTCTACGTTCTAATCCACGGAGGGTTCCAATGACGTTCTGCGTCATCGCGCTGCGCGCCCCCACGCACGCACACTGAATGCGTCTGTCCGCGTCCGTGTGTGTATGTCCGCGCGTGTTCTCATAATAGGGATTTATCCATCATATATGTCCGACTCGACAGATTTGTGCCCAAGGCGCCTGCGGTTATGTCCATGTGAAACATGTTCTCTACACTTGATCATAGCCATAAGGCCGTGAGGCATGACTGCACAATTTCGAATGCCGTTCTGGGTCTTCACTGGCTTTCTTTCAGCCATGACCACAAAAGAAAAGAACTTCCTTGGCTTTCAGCCTTTCTCTCAGCCGCAGCAGCTATTGCACTTTCCGAAGGCTTCTCGTGGTCGGATGTGTTCTCCTTCACGGAGGTGCGGACAGCCTTCTTGATGGAACTTCTTTCCTGTCTTCGTAATGAAGATGGCTTCAGGCAATTCAAGGCTCTTGATGCGTGTCAAACGCCTGACAATCTCTTGGTACTTAAACATGACCATCTTCTGCAGCTTCTCGATCTCGCCGGCCATCTCGGCGTTGTCAGTGATCTTTGGTGCCACCGGCGCTGGCCTCGTTGGAGTCTGTGATGATGCCGATGTCCTTCCATCCAGCTTCATCTTCAAATCTTCACAACTCGGCATTCTCATCTTCCAACTTCACTAGTCCAGCTCTCATGTCATCAACCGTGGTCTCGAGGAGATTCTTTCTTGCTCCGACACGTGTCATCTCCTTCTTGAGGTTCTGCAGCTCGAAATCCTTGTCGTCATACTTCTCCTCAAGCTTCTCATACTTGTCTTTCCACCATTCGTTGTCGAACTTGAGGCTATCAATCTCTTGTTGCAGGAGATGTGAATCTTCTTCGCTTTTCTTGTTCTTGCGCTTCAGCGTCTCCTTCTCGTCAATGACTTTTCTTGCAAGATCTTCCCATGTGTCTCAGGAGCTTGCTTTCCTCTTCCTGAAGTGCGCTCCAGAGGATGAAGGTTCATCTCCTTCTTGATCGACATCCATGTCATCGTCGGACTCGATCTTCACCGGTTGAAGTCCTTTCTTCTTCTTCTTCTTCATCCAACTGGTCACCATTCTCTCAAGCGTCACCGCCAGAATCACAGTGAGGAAAATCAGAAGGTACACAAAGAAGTAGCTCTTCTGTTCTTGATTCTCCGGTTCCGTGGATTGTGCGCCCACCAAGGTTCCAAACGCCAAAGTCGGCATCAATGCTGCCAGCATCTTCTTGGATGTGGCAAATGCCGCCAGTCCCACAAGCACTGAAGCATGCGTAGTTCTTACCATGCTCTTATCCTTCTCTGCCTTCTGAATCATCTCCTCGTCCTTCGTCATAAGGTCGCGCTCGTCACAGTCAATGGTCGGAAGAACCCTTGTCACAATGGGGTGCTTCTCCACTCCACGCAGTCTGATTAGACCTGTCGTCAACAACATCAGCATCATTTCATGGACCATAGACTTGGTGAGGGAATCGGCAAGCATATAGTTCGTTGGAACCAATGTCACCATTCTGACTCTGCCGTCCAATCGTGCTTCTTTGATGGACAAAACATAGAGCCGCTGTGTCTTGTCCTGAGGCATTGTCTTCAGTCCTGCGATGAGCTCGTAGAGATCTCGAGCGTCTCCATACATGTCTAAAGGCATCTCTGGCTTTCCAGCCGTCTGGATCTTGATGAGGTCCTTCAGAGTTGGAGGACACTGAGGATGTAGCATTTCGCTGAGCCTGATCATGCACAAAGTCGCAGATTCTAGCGCATTTACCATGGTTAGGTTGTGATGTGCTGTAGCTCACCCTCTTGGCTTTCGCTCCATGTGAGTGCAAAACATGCATCACTCTCCACGCATGAGCTCGCGCTCTTCAGTCTCGCAAGTGTGCTCGAAGTCGATGGTGAAGTTCCGCCATTCGTCATCGGCCAAAGCAATGACCACACCTTCCTGGGCATAGTTTCGGCCCTTGCTGGCTGGCAGCGGCTCCGTGGCGGCGTGCCACTGGAAGACACCGCTAGCTGGCGGTTCCTACATCCTTGAAGACCTCATCACAGGCCCCGTGGACTCCATCGATTACAAGATCGCTGGACTATGAATCCGCCAAGCTCTGGGAGCATTCCGCTCCAAGAGTACCGGCGGGACATTCCGCCAGGCTGGATCCCAGGCGATGCTTCGTATCCCTTGAGGACCTACTTCGACAAGGTGAATCTTTGGTACCGGATCGCCAATGTGGAAGATGAGGCCATTGGACCACTGGTGGCCGGACGACTCTACGGAAGAGCATCCACCATCGCCATGTCCTTGAGAGTGCCAAGACCTGATGGCACCTTCGATGTGGGCGATGCAGCACTTGTCGTCCGACTAGCTGTGGATGAAGTCCGTGATCCAGCGACCAACGTGATCATCCAGAACCACATCCCGTCAGGAGTGCAGTTCCTGGCCAATGCACTCCGCACGACCTTCGGTCAGCAAGACCAAGATCTGGCTACACAAGCCTTGGACAAGTTCTTTGGCCTTGCTCGAGGAAAGCTCAGCTTGTCCGAGTACAGCGTTGAGTTCGACAGCCGATATGATGATGCTCATGACCGAGCTGGACTGCAGCTGAACGATGTTGGCAAGTTCTTTCTATGGCTCAAGATCTCCGGATTGCCATCCAAGACGGTTGACGACATCAAGCTGCAGGTTGCTGGCGACTACACTCGCTTCAACGACGCACGAGCTCTGGCATTGCGCATCAACCCCAATCGGCGCGAACCTGATGACGCCGAGATTCTCTGTGAGGAGAACGATGAGTCCTATGGCGACTATGACGCCTACTACCAGGACTGGGGCGATGACTATGAGGCCGAGGATTCATGGTGGTATGGCTATGAAGAGGTCGATGAAGGCGAATGGATCTTTGAGGAGTACGCCGCTGACGAGACCTACTATGAGAACCATGATGCCAGCGACGAGTCATGGCAAGAGGTTGACCTCGAGGCTGGTATGACTACAGGATCTGTTTCAGCAAGCGACTCCAACATCTCTGGCGAGTACAACGAAGCCTACTACAAGGGGAAAGGCAATGGCAGTGATGATGGCTGCTTCAACTGTGGCAGCAAGTTCCACAGAGTTCGAGACTGTCCACTTGGCAAGGGCAAGAACAAGAAGGGCAGCCACAACTACAAAGGAAAAGGAAAGTCGAAAGGCTTCTGGCGATGGCGACGCAACATCAAAGGAAAAGGCTATGGTCGAAAAGGCCACTACTACGCCTACCAGGAGGAGGACACCTACAAGCCTCGTGGTGGTCTATCGATCAGTGAAGGCATTCCTGATGCCTCAACGCCTCATGAGGTTGCCATTGGCTCCAAGGAAGTCAAGACGACCAAGAGAACCGAGGGCTTCGTGATCCATACCTCATCTGAGGACGAAGACTTCAAGAAGCCCACTGAGGGATACTCGGGTCAGCCTGAGTACACGACCAAGGATCACTATGACAAGAAGCTCAAGATGAACTTCATGGTCTTCAACATGAAGAAAAGAAGAGACGCAGATGAGCTACCACACCATCCATGGCCAGGAGCGATATGGTTTGCTCGTCGACCCTGGAGCTGCATCCGGTTTGGTTGGCAGTGACACTCATGGACGTCATATTGTCCAACCATTATTGCCGGCGGATCAGCGGACCAGCGGATCAGCTGATCAGCGGACCAGCGGATCAGCGGACCAGTGGATTCAGCCGATCAGCGGACCATGCAGTGGATCAGCGGATCAGCGGACCAGCGGACCAGTGGATCAGCGGATCAGCGGACCAGCGGATCAGCGCACCAGCGGATCAACGGACCAGCGGATCAGCGGACCAGTGGATCAGCGGATCAGCGGACCATGGATCAGCGGATCAGCGGAGCAGTGGATCAGCGGATCAGCGGACCAGCGGACCAGCTTTTGACTTTGACTTTGTGGCGCACTCGACCGAGGTCAAGAGGCGGGGCATTCAGACAATCCATGTCCGGCTCCTTACGAGCTGATGCACCGTGGTGCTCTACCTTCAAAAAAAGAGAGAAGTAGAGTGAGAAAATGCGCTTTTGCAGATCACTCATCTTGGGATCAAATTCAAAAACTCAAGTCGAAAAAGCGACCATCCTCCAGGCCCATGCCAGCGGACCAGCGGATCAGCGGACCAGCGGATCAGCGGACTGCATGAGCGGATCAGCGGATCAGCGGACCAGAGGATCAGCGGATCAGCGGACCAGCGGCAGCGCACCAGTGGATCAGCGGATCAGCGAATCAGAGGACCAGCGGAGCGGATCAGCGGATCAGAGTGATCAGCGGACCAGCGGACCAGTGGATCAGCGGACCAGCGGACCTGCGGATCAGCGGATCAGCGGACCAGCGGATCAGCGGATCAGTGGACCAGCGGATCAGTGGATCTGCGGTCAGCAGTGGATCAGCGGATCAGCAGATCAGCGGACCAGTGGATCAGCGGATCAGCGGATCAGCGGACCACCCGGATCAGCGGACCTGCGGATCAGCGGACCAGGGGATCAGCGGATCAGCGCACCAGCGGATCAGCGGATCAGCGGACCAGCGGATCAGCGGATCAGCGGACCAGTGGACCAGCGGATCAGCGGACAAGAGGTGCAGCGGATCAGGGGACCAGCGGGTCCAGTTGATCAGCGGATCAGCGGACCAGTGATCGGATCAGCGGACCAGCGGATCAGACAACCCAGCGACCATAAGTCGGCAGTGAGACATTGATCAGGATGCTCAAGAGCTGCTGCTCCATGGGCAACCGCAACAAGATCACTCCAGTCTCAGGCGTTTCAGGGAACAGCGAATCGACTCTTGGAGAGGTCACTTTGACCATGGCAACAGCTGGACAACCCATCACCTCTTACGGCGGAGGTCTGTGCC